AGTAATGGACGAGAAATTAAGGATACTCACCCTGCTTTGGTAGTTTCAAACGATAGGCAAAATAACGCTAGCCCTTTAATAGTTATCATGCCAATTACTTCCTTAAAAGCTGGTGATAAAGCTTTTTCTTTTCAAGTGCCAATTACTTTAAAGAATGAGAGTGTGATACTGGTAGACCAAATCAGAACCATTGACCGAGATAAGTTTAAAGATAAAATTACCAAAGTTGAGGAGAAATTAATAGAGGAAGTGGAAAGGAAAATCCATTTTGTTTTAGCTTTAAAAAATTAAGTCCTGAATAACTGTCTTTTTACCCCCCAAACTCTTAGCAAATTTTACTCACTTATTCAAAGAATAAAACTAAATAAGAAATAATTGTTAGATAATGGGCTTTTACTTACTGAATACTCAACCAATCCCTTATTAAAATATCCCCTAGTCCAGCACACTTTTATGCTATAAAAACTAAATTAAAAAACTCTATGAAAACCAAAAACCATGACCAACCAACACATTCATCGCCATCACGGAACAATAGCCAGAACTTGAAAAGAGGATAAATTTAGGCGACTTTTAGACAAAAACTAAAAATACTTTAAAACAGAACTAGACTGCTATTCTAGTGCCTGAACTACTTAGGCTATTTAGTAGTAAATTCTCTATAAGAAAAATTAACGGATATGAATAACAATAACAATAACAATAACAATAACAATAACAATAACAATAACAATAACAATAATACATTCGAAAAGAAAGAAACAAAAAACATATCAAATCCACTTAAACCATATTGAAACGATGGCCGAATTCCGACTAAACGGGTGGAATTAACTGATAGCAATGCCAACCATGATTATTACGGGCAGTTTGAAAATTATGAAAACGGCGATTATCGCAGTGTTCAAGTTTGAGCCAGTAAGGACGGAAATGGGATTGAGGAAAAATTTAAGTGAAGTAATTCACGACCAGGACTTTTTGACGAGTTTAAGAACACTCCGTTTTATGGTGAAATGAAAGAAAAAGCCAAATCAGCCCGTAAGATAACCAAAGAGACAGGGAGTGTAGGAAACTTATTAGGTTATTCACCAGAAAAACACTGTTGTAATTGTCATAGGTCAATTGACGAGAGAAGCGGTTATTTTCATTGTAAAAATTGTAATGTCGATTTTTGTAGTTCGGAGTGTAAAGAAAGACAAGAAAGTCGGAAATGCAAAAACACAATCGAATACATTCCTAGTAATTTAGTGAAAAACAATAACCTATCACCTGATTTAGCCCAAGAAAATCACGAATTAAAACAGCAGTTAGCGGAAGTTCAAAAGCAATTAGCCCAAGTTTTAGAAGAATTAAAAAAGTTCAAAAGTAATTCAAGTGGTAAGGATAACAAAAAACTAGACCAACAAATAGCCCAAAATCAGAAGTTAATTGAAAATGGTGAAAAAGTATCCCAAGCCGAGGTTAAAGAACAAGTTCAAAAGTCCCAGGCTTTATTAAAAGAAGCCAGCGTTGGCGTTGTCTCAACCAAAGATAATAGTTCTGGTTCACTTCTTTATGTAATTGGTGGTTCTGTTGTGGTTATTGGTCTATTGGCAAGTTGATTATTAGTGAAAAAGACCAAAAAAACCTAATATCTTGATTCAAATTCAAACTAAAAATCTTTAAAAACCCAGAGGCTAAACTGGCTTAAATTAGCAAATTATAACAAAATAACAACAAATATTTAAAAAAACATGGTAAAAGAAATAATAATTCCTAAGGAAAATATCCCAAAAACGGAGGAAGTTAGAGAATATCAATCAGAAAAGGAAAAAACTACTGAAAAAAAGAATAGAGAGTTCCAATTTACTAGAGATTGGTTTAGTCGCCATATTCCGAAATGAAAAAAGACTTTGCAAGGACTTGAAAACAAAAAAATAAATGTTCTTGAAATAGGAGTGTTTGAAGGAAAATCAACAATTTGGATTTTAGAAGAGTTATTTAAAAATCCCGAATCAAAATTAATAACGATTGATACTTTTGAAAAGTATTTTGCTGACAGCGACAATGAGATAATTTTTCGAGAAAATATTCAAAAGAGTGGCAAAGAAAAGCAAGTGAAAATTATTAAAAGTGGTTCATTTGATGCTCTAGTGAAGTTGAATTATGAAAAAGGAGTAAAGTTTGACTTTATCCATATTGATGGTTCTCACTTTTCTTGTGATGTTTTAGCAGATGCCACCTTGGCTTGAAATATGTTGAGGGAAGATGGTATTATGATTTTTGATGATTATGAATGGGATTACTTTGAGGAAGAATATAATAATCCAAGAATAGCTATTGATTCTTTTTTACGGTGCTATAAGCCACAAATAGAGATAATTTACAAGCATTATCAGGTTGCCCTTAGAAAGGTTATCCGTAAAGATACTCGAACTACTCGAGAAGATAAAACTTCTATCGAAGAATTTTCTGTAAACTCTTAGGGATATTGTGTGAGAAAACCGAAATTTAGTAGAAAAAGGGAGCC